GGTGGTTCTGCTTCCCTCCCTGGTCGGCCTTTGGAAACGCGACCTGCGCCGGGACCTGAGCCCTCGTTCTACAAACCGACAGGTGGCTCTTATGCTGCTTCTGCAACCTCCAGCCTTGGTGGTAGTTTTGGTTCTGCCCCTGGTCGGCCTTTGGAGGGAGTTGACCCATCATTCTACGACCCAACCTATTGGATGCCGGCTCCTCCGCCTCACTCGTCCAAACTCATCCAGTCCAGAAATGGCTACCGGCGAGCATCAGTAGTCTCTTCCCACACTAGGTACTCCCCATTCTACCCTAAACCTCCACCACCAAGACAGACTCCAGGAGGGAAGGTCTAATGAGGTAAAAGAAGCAGATGAAGTTTAAGCTGTTCAATGATGGTTCATGACTAACCTTTGACCTTTTCCTTATTTTTCAGGTGAACTTTGTTACCTGATCTTCAGCATTCTGGAACTGTTTTTGAAAAGTATTAATAAAATAATTTGACAACAAGAACCATATAGTTTGTTTTATTTACATAGCGTTCTTGTGACTTTCACCAGAGTTGAAAATGCATCAATGGAACTCTTTGGGATTGGACTCCATACCACATATGGAGGTCTGAATGGGGCCCTTACTATCTATAATTTTAATATCGCTCTTCAACGTAATTAGTCGGACTTCAATGCTGATTTGACTGAAATCGGGCACTTAATGGAACGGCTTTGGTTAAATGGTCACATGGCAGAATGTGGTTCTAGTAAGCAATTGAGTTAGAATCTCCCAGACTTTAAATTCTGTATTGTTGCCCTTAACCCAGAATTTGTGGCAAATCCCAGAAACCTTTGTTAACCAGTCAACTCTTTACAACTGGACCTTTTGGTCTAGCTGAAGGGTACAGATCTCACTCCTGCAGTCAGCCTTGAAACGTTGTTTGCAAATATACACATGTATAGATGAGATGGTCGACTGGCTTAAGAAGATGCCTCTCCTACTTAAATACCAACGGTCCTCCTTGATGGGCAGAGAGGTTTCAAAATAAAGCCATAATATGAAATTGTTAAATGTACAATTGGTCAGACTAGAAGGTGTAATGAATATATTTCAAGTCGAATCCAGATGTTTCTGGAGTAACTATGCAGATGATGCTTAAAGTGGGTTGTTCCAAAGAAGAGATCCTCTGGATTTCAATGTTAAAGGGAAACCTTGAGTCTCCTAGTCGGTCCCCTTGAAGAGCATTTGTTCATTAAAGTTGGTGAGAGTAAAACCAATGGAACTTCATTTTGTTAGCCTTGTTTGATCCTTTGATGCAGCGTGAGCTCATTAAAATAGTTTGACCAGAAAATAAACGCTTTGTTTTTGCATGTTATGACAAAAGTTCTGCCACTTTACATTTATGGGCAATTTTCTGCCTTTTGCTTGCATCTCAGCTTTATGATTTTCTTGCAAGAAATTGAGAATTAATCTTAAAACAGGTTTTGCTGACTCACTATCTGGATGTCTAGAGGTGGCTGTGAGGAGTGCTTGTTGCAAAGCCCCAGACATCCCAGAAGAGACTCTGACGCTCATCAAAATGCATCAATCGGCTCTGCTGTTTCTGCAATAAAACAAAGATCGTCTTAATTTATTGTGATGATAATCACAATAAACTCTTGTCAGTTGTCAACTCTTGACAATCACAAAAAAGTAAACATTACCTAAAACATGGACTTGTGTCTAAGATGCTAAAGCTAGCATGCAAACGATCGCATCAAGCACAACCGAGTCGGACAAAGTTTAGACTTAGAAGCTCCGACTGAATCTGTAACTAATAAGTCTGTGGGTCAGAACCCCACAGACTGAATCATTCACATGTATTTCATTCCAACATGTCTGCAGGATAAAGACGGAGCAGCAGGAACACGGATCACACGCTGTGTTTCATACCTTTTTAAAATGTTCCCAATTATTCAAATTCATACACGGCTCAACTTCATTAATACATTTAGTTTCCATGCATCTTCAAGTGTTTAGTAGTTTAAAAGTTTAAAAAGATGCATTCCCTCTCCTCGTATAATTTAGTTTAATAACATCTAATGCACTTTACGGTTGAATATTTTTCCCTTTGATGACCTTTTCAAATGTAAAATGTAAAATCCTGATGTAAGGTTTATTTTCATATCTATGGTGGAAGATAAATGCTGTGAATATTAACAGTTTTATTTTTACGCCAAAGGCCTTAAATCCCTTAAATAGCACCATTTAGTTCTATCAGTCGGTCTGTAGATGCTCCGTTCGTTAGTGCTCATTACCTTCACATTACAGACAGCAGGAGACCTCAGACATGACATCACTTTTTGGTTTTCCTCCGTATGTTTTGCCTGACTGAAGAGTCAGAATAAAGGTATAGATCTATAGATGTGATCTAAACTACTCCTGATCTCTGGCTGATGTCAGTTGGTTACAGAAATAACTCTGAAATCAACATTTTTTGCCATAAATGTCACATGTTGATTTATTGGGAGAAATAAAACCTCTAACAGTGAAGATGAACCAGTCAGAATGAAAAACAACTAAACTCGTAAAGTTAATTATCAGGACAGGTTTGAGTATTTAAAAGTAGCCTGAATTAAACCTGGGTTCTGTTGTTCTGGAGTCAGTCCAGGTCAGTCTAGGTCAGATTGGACTTAGGCTGGAGTCAGTCTAGATCAGTCTGGAGTCGGTCTAGGTCAGACTGGAGTCAGTCTGGAGTCAGTCTAGATCAGTCTAGGTCAGACTGGAGTCAGTCTAGATCAGTCTAGGTCAGACTGGAGTCAGACTGGAGTCAGTCTAGATCAGTCTGGAGTCAGTCTAGGTCAGTCTAGATCAGTCTGGAGTCAGACTGGAGTCAGTCTAGATCAGTCTGGAGTCAGTCTAGATCAGACTGGAGTCAGACTGGAGTCAGTCTAGATCAGTCTGGAGTCAGACTGGAGTCAGACTGGAGTCAGTCTAGCTCAGTCTAGATCAGTCTGGAGTCAGACTGGAGTCAGTCTAGCTCAGTCTAGATCAGTCTGGAGTCAGACTGGAGTCAGACTGGAGTCAGTCTAGATCAGTCTGGAGTCAGTCTATCAGTCTGGGTGCAGCATGGACCCAGACTGGGTCTAACTAACTAGACTTTGTGTCATGTTGGTGTGTTTGTATCTGATCTGGCTTCCAGACTTCCGTCACGTCACATAAAGATTTAAAGAGAGAAGATGTGACGAGGTGAGAGTCCTGCTGCTCTGTCTTTAAAACATGTCCTTTCACAGAGTAGCAGCGCCGCTGATTACTCGAGTGGACTTCTTCTCCCGGCGGATGGTGAAGAGCCTCTTCAGAGCGGCTCGTGGTTTCATTACGCCTCCAACCGTCTGGAGCATGAGCGGCGCTTCATCCTGCTCTGTGTGTCGGAGACAGTCGGCCTTCCAAAGGACGAGCTGAGCTCACGGCCTCACACCGCCTGTCTGCCATTCTAGTGTGAGTATCGTAACGCACAGAAAGTACCACCATGTGACCCATGAAGAGTGTTCAGGTGGTTCATGTTAAAAGATATTATCATCAAATGTTTTATTTACAACATGTTTCTTGTCGTTTCCAGACTGTTTATTAGAAGTGGACGTAGTCGTCACGTCGCCATCTTGGATTTTTGCATAAAAATAAGAGTGAGAATGAAAAGAGAGGAAATGATGAGCTGAGAGACGAAGAGAAAATGATGGTTGAGTCTCTGTTTTAGTCAACTGATCTGACTGGACAAGAACTACACACTCACTCACACACACACACACTCACACACACACACGCTCACACACACACACACACACACACACACTCACACACATGTATCATTTC